CCAGCAGCACCARCCACAAATGAATGTTGCCTGGCTGGCTGCTGGCTGTTTTATAGCTAGATGGAGGCTGRGGGCAGCTGCCTTGCCCCAGCCAAAACTCGRAACTGAGYCTGACCCTTGATCTAGATCGCGATCAAGGGCCAGAAAGTCTGATGTTCCCCTAAGGAAACTAAGTTCAGACCTTTGGTAATGCATCTGGCCTTCACCCGCGGCTAGACGCAGCTTACCAAAGACTGTATAAAGCCTTTTTAAGCAGACTGTTGAATCCAACAGTCTGCTGTCTTATCAAAGTCCAGATGCTTCTAGACCTGCATCTGGACTGAGGCCGCGGTTAAATCCGCGGCCGTTTTTCTTTTTCCAGCTTCTTCTTCTTCTCCTTTCTTTTTTTTTCCTTACCCCCTCGTTTCTTTTGTACAGGGGCTGCTTGCCGTTCAGAACGAACGGCCGCCCCTTCACTTCACGGAGTCGAACTAGAGTCAAGCCCAACAGGGCTTCCTTTCCACTATTTTTGCCCTGCGCCCGTACCGGGATGCCTACAGCGCCAAGTGCAGGCGGCGGTCTGCTGCCCGTTGCTCAACCAACGGGCGCAGGTAAGTGGCTTTCTCTCTCTCTCTCTCTCTCTCTCTCTCTCTCTCTCTCTCTCTCTCTCTGGGTGTATCACGGCGCCTGAATATAGCCGCGTTTGTGCGGCTGATTCAGGTGGACTGACTAACTGTCGAGGCTCAGCCTCCTGATGAGTCGGTGGAAGGCCGACGAAACAGTTTGGCAAGGTTACACCCGTTCGTACGAAACGAACGGGTGCTTAGTGCACCGAGAAGAACAAAAAAAAAACAAAAAAACAAAAAAACAAAATAAAATCGTAATAAAATCTAAGGAAAAAATCTAAAACACAATTTCTAAAAAAAGAAAGAAAACTTACCTTTGAGGGGAATAGTCGTCCATTTTCACGGGGGACTGTTTAGTGTTTCGGGGCTGAAAAACCCTTGACACTTCTTAGTGCGCCACATGGCGTTTTA